CATCATCATCATCATCATCATCATCATCATCATCATCGCAATCATCATTCTCCTCCTGCAACATCTTCGCAATCATCACGAAATCAATCAGACAGGGTTTCTGTTCACATCTAATGTTTGGTGATCAAATTTTTGCTCTAAAAAACCTGCTATATATTTCCAATTTCAATGTTATCTTTTCCCAATTTTATTTATGTGAAAAATTTTTGTGAAGTTTTACAAAACGATTTTTCAAATTTGATTTATATCATATACATGTTATAAAATCTTCGGGCTTCGAATATATCAGATCATTTAGCCATTTTTGCTCATGCTTTATACATTTATCTCTATAAAGTACATTCAGTAATTTTTGTTTAAAATTGATAAATTGAAATTTAAAACTGACAAAATTTTTTTGGAATAGATATTAAGATATTATTAAAAATGTTGCATTAACTGTCACATTGTTGTCAACGAAAAATAACAAATTTACTAAAAATTTGGGTCTCCTTAATTAATTATGCAGATTTATTACCAATAAATTAATAACTTTGTTATTTTTTTCGTCTTTTTTGGATAATGATCCCATTCATGTTATTAATTTTGCTAAACTATAAATTTTAAAATAAATAAAATTTTTTCATTACAAATAATCTAATTTAAAATATTTTTTGATAACAGAAATAGATGCGCCAACGATAAAAATGCAGAGAAAAAGACCAAGCCAAATTATTTGAAATCTTTAATTACTAAAACTCGGCATCATTTATCCATCACTCACATCCGTCCATCTCATTAATTATTGTTAATTGTAATGAGTGTAGGGAAAGAGATGTAGAGGCTGATAAATATTACTTTTTAATGGTAATGATATGTGAGTCTAATATGTATACAAAGATATTCTTTCTCTCGTAGCCTCATTGTTTATTGATAAGAAGAAATAAATATGAGAAAGATGACTTTAAAGTAAAAGAGATCGAATTTTGATGATTGTTGTTTATTTTATGTATCATTTCATTTCGTAGTCTGCTGTTTATTGTCTTTTTTGACTTTTGGCCTTTTTCCTCCTAATTGAATGATAGAATGTTTCGCCAATTGCGATGCCCGAGAGAATTAGCAGGAAAATAGAGGGATAACGAGCGGACAAGTTGTCAATTCAAGTGACAAAAAGAATATTCACTAACAATACCAAACATTTTAGATTTCTTACTTATACCAATATGTCGTGTGTAGGATTTCCCTCACAAAGATAGAAAGTAATGAGAAGAAAGGAAGCGCAGGAGGACGATAAGCCTATTGTTAACGTAATATTTACTACGCCAGACATAGTAATCCTGAAGCTTAGATTTGTTTTTAAACATATGTACTAAATGTTTCAATTATTTCTTAAAATTTCAAATGCACGCTACGCTCGTAATAACTTGCTAGCTTGTGTATTCTCAAGTTGTCTTCCTTTTCATTTTTAAATTTTAAAATTTATGTATCAGGTGGAATGTGCAATGAACGGATAAAAGAATACAGAGTTCTTTTGCATTTATTTTAAATTTTATGCTGTAAAATGCTTTTGTTGTTTGATTTAATCATTGATGTCTTAGATTGTTCAATTTTTGTTCAATTAATCTTAGAGACTGTTTTGATGGTATAAATTCTTCCCTTAGCAAAAGAAAAATAATAAAATCAAGAGAAGTGAAAATAGCAAATTTAATATTTATCATTTTTTTAATCTCCATTTTATGTGAAATTTCTTAAATGTTTTTTTCTATCAGTGACGTGATACTTTTTTTGGACGTCAATATATGTATGGAAAATTTTAAAGTATTTTTTCCATTTTTTAAAGAATCGATTGATTGCAATTTTGAAACATTGTTAAATTGCAATACAATTTTATCATTGCTGACACTTCGCCCTCTTTCACTTCTTCACTCTTTCTTTTCTGTTCGATCACTGACTTTGTTAAGTGATATGGTGAAAAAAAAAACCAGTAATCTTTGATAAGAAGGCGAAATCAAGTTTTCTGTTTTGTTTTTGTTTTTTCTTTGTTATTAGGTGATCGAATTCAATTGATATATGGGATTATTTTAAAAAACAAGAGAAATTAATTTAGTCTTAAAGTTTCTAATCTGGAATTTTTTTGACTTTTAACGGAAATTTAAACTTTAAACTTTTTCTCTTTCTTTTTTTGCAACATCAAATTTATCATCAAGCAGAAAAAGTTTACATCATCTTATTTTCCTTATCCATTCATCGAACTATAAATGATCATCCTACTCTTTTTCTTTTGTCTGTCCACTTTCTACGACGAATGTAATTAATTAGCCAAGTAGCCAAAACAAGTAAATCAAAAGGTAAGCGTTTGATACTGTTAGACAATTGTTATCGTTAATGATAATAATGAAAATAATGATAATTTTTATTGGTACTTCATAGATATACATTTAATGCTCATGAAATTATTAAATTTTTGCCTCAATATATTTTATATTTTATTGGTTATAGTTTTCAGCATAATATTCCCTTTTTTAAAAATAATTTGAAAAATTTCAAGTTTTTTCTAACACCAAATTTACATCACTAGGATTTTCAATGTCTGAAATTTATTTTTAACTTTTGAAACCATTATTTAGTGATGAAATGGAAAATTTTTGCTTGACCAGGAAAAAATAATCGTTAATTTCGAACTATACTTCTTATTCAGCAAAAAAGAAAGAAAATTTATTTGAAATAACATTTTCATTTGATTTGTTGAAATTTCTTCAATAGATTGGTATTGGGAAATTGAAGATGAGGAGGAAAAAGAGAGTAAGAGTTCTTTTAAATTTTAATTTGTCGTACGAAAGTAAATTTTGTGAGGCTATTCTTGATTTAATCTCACTCATCAGATTAATTTTGAAAACAGCCTCAAATTTTCATTCCATTTCAATTTGTAAGAGTAATAATCGTGAAAATTTCTAATCCTTAAAATTATTTCGTCCATTGGCTGAAACGACTAATTCTATGCCATACGGGTATTAAATTTCTATTCCATAATCATGCTTTTGAAGATATTGCTTCAGTGATGTACATGTTATAGTAGCAATGAATCAAATTTTGATGAAGTATTACTATTTAACCGATTATTTATTAAGATTTTTGTTGTCGAATTAAATCTGAATATTAAATAATTCAGCAATAATTCAAATATTATTATTTTAATTTTTCAAATGATTTTTTTTTTAATATTTTATTTCGTTTCTCCAAACCATGCAGCATTTTTCTAATTATCAGAAACTCTTATCAGAAAAGCATAACAAATTATTGATGCTCATTGAACTTTCATCACTCAAATCTTAAAATTGGTTACCAAATTTGAATTCAATAAATTCGGAAGCAACAAATGAGTACCACTTGATATCATTTCGGTGTTATTTGCTTATCTAAGAAATAATTAGGATATATAATTCCGGTTTTCAGCTTAATTACAAGTGTGACGTAGTAGGGATCAGGTCATTGTGGTTCGTCATTAACTATTAATGACAAACAAGGTTATCTGCGAGTAAAAGGTGATCGTTAGAAAAGCTGATTACGGTACATATTTATTATTGTTCTTAATGATATTTCATGAGGACATTTTAATTAATAAGAATGAACGTTATCCCAAAGGTTATAGATTATGCACTTACAACAAACAATAACATTTAAATCAATGGAGGGAGGAAAAGGAAAGGACTTTGGCACTTTTGAATAATTTATGCATAATGAATTAGATATTCGCTAATTTGTAGGGGATGTATAAATTTTTAGTAGAGTCAAAAGTGACCTTTGACAATTATTTCACTAGTGGTTAAATTTACAAAATTTTTCCAACTGTTCCATATTTATCAAATCAACGTTAATATGAAATTTCTTAATTTTATCAAATTTTTAATATTTGTGTTTGTGAATAAATTTGATGGATTTAATTTCGAGTCATTTTTTAATTTCGAGCTATTTTTATGGATTTAATTTTGAGTCATTTTAGAAGATTTTGAAAGATGAGACCAATCAAATCGGAATCAGTGAAATAAATAATGTATAGGTGTGCATACTTCAATGGTTCGTCAAATAACTCGTTTTTTTGTTGAGAGTATTTCTTTAAAATAAAATTTCATAATGCAAAAAAATATGATGTTAATGAAATCATTTAGCAGCTCATCAAATTTTGCAATTTTCATTTAGTAATTTCAACATTCCATAATAATGAAAATTTTATTGATTCAGCTTTGAAATAAATAAGAAATTGTGCACAACTTAATTATGATTATTCGATTTTTTGAATTTTTTTTCTTTGTAATTTTTTGTATATTGAAATAGAAATTAATAAATCAGTGAACGTCAATATTTTCAATTTGTTTACATAAATCATATCTGATTAATGATTATGTAAATATTTTGATCGATCAGAGGATCGACAACAAATCTCGGAAGTGAATCGTGCAATATATAATATCTTAACTACTACTAAAAAATCCCGCTATAAGGCGGGATAAAATTGAGTGAGATCTCACGGAAATTTAAACAGCATATATAAGCAACACGAGTTGCCATAACTGGGTAAAAAAATAAATCGAGAAAAGTTTACAAACATTACCACTGCTGAAAAAGTAATAAAGTGTTGTCGATCGATCAAAATATTTACATAATCATTAATCAGATATGATTTATGTGAACAAATTGAAAATATTGACGTTCACTAATTTATTAATTTCTATTTCGCCGAAATTTTGGCCGCTGTTTAAACTGAAAAAGAAAATAAATTAATTTAATTGCAAAATTAAATTGAAAATTTTATTACTACCACTCAATAAACTCCATTAAAATTTGCATTGGAGTGTTACATATCATAACTAACTCAAATATAATGACGAATTTTGTTAAGCTTACGGCGATAAATTTAATTTGATATTATTAAATTACATTATCCATATTTTAATATATTTGAAATTTTCCAATTGTAATAATCGTTTTGGTTCTTTCTAGACTTTCAAAATAATAAGTAAAATTTGCTGAGAAGTTTAATGAGGTCAAACAGTCAATGAATAAGTATAATGAAGTCTATTTCATGGA